CTCTTCTGGAATGAATCACCTGCAAATCGGGATCTGGGCTGGCGATATCTGATCTTCAGCTGTCGATGGAGATGCGGGTGGCGGCGACAGGAGAAGATTCAGAGATGCTGATGATTAGCTGCGCCCGAAGAAGGTCGTCCTCGTCGGTGTTCCCGGCGCCTTCAACGCACACCCACATGCAAACCAAATCGATTCTCAGTCGAATCGTAGGATTCATTCTCGTTTCTAGAAGAAGAAATCGATTGATGGATGAAAGTAGATCTAGCTTCAGAATGGATGAAAGTAGCAGTAGTTTGTAGATAAATAGACAAACAGATCGGCCAAAACCCTCCACCACCTCTCCACATCCGCAATTTGGAAATTGGAACCTTCAACAGCTGGCAATGAACGAGAGGAAGAGAATGCAGTCGAATCGATCTTCATGGTGGTTGCGATGCTCGTCTCTCTGCCTCATCCTTCTTTATGCTTCTGTCAGCGGCGCTGGATCTTGAACGAGGAAGACAAGAAAGAAAGGCGGTGCTGGTTTCTCTGCATAGCAACTGCGAGCGTAGCAAAGAGAAACAGAAACTGGGACTGCTCCCCTCCCTACCCCGCCGTTGAAGCTGTTGATCCTGGTTAGGAAGAACTCGGATCTGAAGAAGAAGATTTGTTGAACGAGAGATTCCGCTGGGAAAGGGGAAGGCGAAGGAAGAGAGATGGGAGAGAGAAAATTAAAAAATATTTAATTAATTTATATTTATTTTTCACCTCACATTTTAATTGATTAATTGTCGCCAACTCAACCTTTTCGTTAGTCGAGTCAGCCATTTTGTTAACACCGTCAAAAAATTGCACGAAAGTGGCTATTTTTGGCATTTCGCCAAAAGTGGCTATATTTCGCCAAACCGTCAAAGTTTTGGCTACTTAAGTGTATTTTTCCTTTTATTAATAATATTTTACACTCTTAAACTATTGCAAGTTAACAACCCTTTAGGAAGAGATTCACTTCCCACATCCAAGCCACTAATCCCCCTTTCTCTTAATCCTTTAGTGTGAATCGACAAGGACAAATACGGAACCAACCACACTTGATTCCCCCTCACTCTTGTCGCCATACGTCACTAGTGTTTCAAAAAGAAAATAATTTGGGGGGGGGGGAGGGGAGAAATCAGTTGTTTTTACTATTTTTTCCAACCAATCCATCTCCCAAAAATACCTTTGTACATCCTCTTCCACCGGTTCTAACCTCTCCCCTGTTCATCTCCGACCAACGTTCTTCGCCTGAATTCCCTTGCAACATCACCCCTTCTCCCCTGGTCAGAGCAAACACCAGGTGTTGAAATCTTTGTGTTCAACAGAGCTTCGGGTATATGAAAGTATGAAACCCTTCGCCTTCTCCTTCCCATTCGTTTCCGCATCGTCGTCTCCCTCTATCGGGTCATATTTTTCATCGCCACTAAGGGTTTTATTCATTGTTTCCTCTTCTAGCTTATAATAATGTCTAAACTCTAGACTGGTAGTTTATAATGTTGTCTTGGCTGGTAGTTTATAATGTTGTCTGGACCGGTAGTTTATAACTTTTTTGGACTGATAGTTTGTAAATTTTGTTTGGATTGAGAGTTTGTAAATTTGTTAGAACTGTCTTATTTTTTTGGCGACAACCATGACGAGTACCAAAACTCCATTTTTAGGACTAGCGATACCAAACCAGTCTGCCAACTATGTTTCTCGGCAGGTAGTAATCGGAGGAGGGGAGTCGCCTCCCTCTGAAGAGGCACTGGTTAAAAATTACATCGTGAGGGACTGACTAAGAGACGACATGATAGTACTATTAAAAACAATGGATTGATTTGAGGCTGCAAGTTCAATCGCATTTGGGAAGAATTGCATATGGAAATCTATCATTAACATATTGAAGGTTGAAATTTAGGAGGAGAGGAAGGTTATTCTCAATAATAGGGGTGGGAAATGGTGCGGTTGCGGTTAACTGCACCGCAATTTGTGGTTAACAGCAACCGCAAAACACCCATATTAGCCAACCGCTACCGCGTCCCTCACGGTTAGCGGTTAACCAAAAACCGCAGAACGCGGTTAGCGGTGAACCGCGGTTTATGGTTGTAAAAACCGCAACAACCGAAACAGTATACAAAACCACGGTTAAGCAATCTAACCGATAATTAACCGCGAACTAACCGCAAAGTCTCACGACAGCGGGCACGGCAGCGGGGCAGAACAGCGTCGCAACCTTGAGGAAGCCGGGGACGCGTGACGCCGGACGGCAAGGGACGAAACGAAACGGATGGCAATTGGCAGCGGCGCAGCGCCGCAACGGGAAGATGGGAAGGCTGAGTAGCGAAGGGTTTTCAGTTGCTGGTGGGAAGGGACGAAACGAAGGGTCGAAAGGGATTTTTTATTTTTGTTTCGTCAAATCAAAACGACGGCAGGGAGAAGTGAGGGAGGGGCCGGGTCGGGTTTGGGCTGCTGCCTGCTTGGCTGGAGGTCAACTTTGGGCTGGGTCTGGGTCGCAGTTAGTCTTGCGGTTATACGGATTTGCGGTTTCGATTGCGGTTAAACCGCAAAACAACCCATATCTCCAACCGCGACCGCAAAATAGGAAAAATATGCGACTTGCGGTTAACCAATAACCGCGCGGTTTCGGTGCGGTTATCGATTTAACCGCGAAACCGCAACCGTTTTCCCATCCCTTCTCAATAAGTTTGGCCTAGGGGCTGTATTGGAATTTGAGATGAAGAAGTTCGATATGACTTTGCTTAGTTGGGTGGTTACCAGTTGCAATGTCGAGTAAATGTCAATATTGATGGAGGATGGGATACATCTTTCAAATATCAGGGATTGGCTCCGGGAGAACATCTTGAGCAAAGACAGCATGGCCACAGGTATGGATTGGTCGGCCTTCTTCTGCACTGCTTGCTGGCTCATTTGGAAGAACAGGTCGACAGCTTGTTTTAAAGGTATGGGGGCAGCTCTCTCTCCTCATTCTCTTGAACATGCTATTATGGCGAAAACCAAGCTCTGGCATGATGCTTGGAATGCGCTGTCCCGCCTCCCTAGTAATAGACAGGCTCCAGCGGAACGGGTTCTGGCGCATGTTGGATGAACGCCCCCACCTGAGGGATGGCTGTCTCTGCATGTCGACGGTGCTTCTTCAGGGAATCCTGGCCCCGCCGGGGCGGGTGGTGTTCTCCGAGATCCGAGTGGTAGGTGGGTTGCAGGTTTTGTTGCGAACCTTGGTACAGCGACAGCCGCCCTCTCTGAACTGTGGGCCATTAGCTATGGGCTCGATATCGCGCGGAGAGCTGGCTGCAGATTCCTCCAGGTGGCCTCGGACTCTCAACTGGCGATTCAGCTGATCAGTACTCGGCAGGACCCGATCCACCCTTATGCGACCTTGTTGACAGCTATTAGAAGGAAGATTGGGAATGATTGGGTGGTACGCATAACTCATACATACCGGGAAGGGAATAGAGTCGCGGACTGGCTCTCGAAGCACAATCTCGTCTATCCCTACGGTATGCATGAACTTGCGGATCCACCCAATGGAGTGACTTCGATTCTACGAGATGATATGCTTGGGACTACTCTTGAGCGGCGTATCATTGCCTCCTCCACCCCCTCCCCTCTGTAATCTCCTCCTGTATCTGTTTCTTGTTCTTGGCCTCGGCCTCCTTCCAATGCAAAAAAAAAACTAATGTCGAACGGGCATATGGTCTTTCGGGTGGTCCCAAGACGGTGCCCACAAGTGATGCTAACAACCAGAACGAGCTCTAGAATAAACTCGTGTGCATGGGTGAAGAAGTTGCGGGTTGGAACATACTGTGGTGCTTGAAGGATAATCTCTATCTATTTTTTCGTTGAATATAAAAAATAGAAAAAACCAAATAGAAAGGATAAAAAGATAAATTTGTTAAAATTAGGTAAATAAAACTAAATTAATTAAACATTTAATGTTTTATTCCTAAATAAAAAAGAAAAAGCAATGTATGTAATAAGAGAGCGGTGATTTGGTCATTTTCAGCTCCTTTTAATAATCAACTAGCGGAATTGTGGATGGAATGGAAGAGTACACATTTGTTACGTTTCAATTTTAGAGGTAGGGGTGAAAATTGGTACAGTATCGGTGTCCCAATATCAAATACTGAAATCCCGAATATCGAATTACACCCTAAAGTTAATCTCAATATCAATCCCTAAATAATTTCGGTATACCAATCACAATCCCTAAATATTTCGGTATCCCAGTCGGTATTATCGAATACGAAATTAATTTCCTTTGCAATTAATAATTAATTATATAAATTAGATTTTATTGTTTAATTTAGGGGAAAAGGACTGAGCAAAGAGACTCGCATTAGGAAATTATTAAGGAGGATGGAGGAGGGGAGACATCTCAAGTTATTTTCCTTGGTGATCTTTAATTTGACGAATTGGAGGTTGAGAGACGACTATTAATAGTGATGGAATGATCCGTGTATAATTAAATGACACTCTTGGTGGTTGAGGGTCATGTAGTGTGAATGAGAGAGTCTAGTTGAGAAGAGAAAATACACACTAGCTTATATTTCGGTATTGATCGGTATTTCGGTATATACAGATCCCAATCCCGTAATCCCTAATACCGAATAACAATTGAAATTCAATCACAATCCCAATCCCAAGAAATAATATGTGTATTCGGTAATACCAAATATAGACAAATTCGATACGATATTCGGTATATCCCAAAATACCGGTACCAAACTTCCAGCCCTAATTATAGGGATACAATTATGCTTAAAAATAGTAAAGGTATATTTGTTAACTTGCATTCTTTTTTCACCCTATTTGAAAAATATTATGTTTATGGGCTCCATCATCCATGGCCTTCTTAAGAGGCCCAGAAGATAATGAATTACAGCAGGTTGCTTAAAGAAACTATGTCGTCGACGGTGGCTCGGCCCACGGAACGAAACGCTTTTCCTAGTTTAGCCCGTCTATAAAAAACGAAACCCTACTTCGACTTCATAAAACCCTCGGGCTCCTCCAATCCATCTCTCTGCCGCTCTCTGCTTTTCAATCCGGTTCTCCCTGCTTAGCAAATCGGTGCTCTCCCTTCTCTCAATCACGCAACCATGGCGGCGCCTAATACTGCTCCACCTCGCGCCCTCTCCGCCAAGGAGCTCGACATCCAGATGATGTTGGCTGCGGAGGTCCATCTGGGAACCAAGAACTGTGATTTCCAGATGGAGCGATACGTCTTCAAGCGCCGCAATGATGGTATAAATCGAATCGTCTCTCGCTCTTTTCACTACAGCATGGTGTGTGATCGTGTTATGTTGATTTCATTGCCTTTCACTTTATTCACCGGAATGCGCTTTATTTAGGCTCTGTTCTTGCTTCTGTTGGGTTCCGCTTAGTTTTTTGCTTGGCCCCGAGAATGGCGATTTGCTTAGGGTTGAATCAAACCTGACTTTAGAGTTTTTTTGGGTGAATTCGGCTGTTTGTTTTCAAGCAGAATCTGGCTTGCTTAACTGTTTGTTTAGAGATTTTAGGAGAAGTATACACGTAGAAGATATCTACCATCGTTTATGGGGTTCGGTTTGTTATCAAGTAGACTCAATATTCAGTGGTTTGGATATTTAGATTGATAATTTGGGTCATGCAGATTCCTAATTGATTGTTCAACTGTGTTCCATTTGGCAATTTTGCACTGCGCTTCTTTTATCAATCTCATAATAGCATTGTGTTTCTTCAGGTATTTACATCATCAATCTTGGTAAGACATGGGAAAAGCTGCATATGGCTGCCAGAGTTATTGTTGGCATTGAGAACCCTCAGGACATGATTGTCCAATCTGCTAGGCCCTATGGTCAGAGAGCTGTCCTGAAGTTTGCTCAGTACACTGGAGCTCATGCCATTGCTGGCAGGCATACCCCTGGTACCTTCACTAACCAGATGCAGACTTCCTTCAACGAGCCTCGTCTCTTGATCCTTACTGACCCAAGGACCGATCATCAGGTGATTAGATTCCCCATCTTGTGTGCCCATTTAGGCACATCTGTTTTTAATTCATTGTGCTGACAATTTGAGTTAACGTTGCAGCCAATTAAGGAAGCAGCTCTTGGAAACATCCCCACCATTGCCTTCTGCGACACAGACTCCCCCATGAGATATGTTGATATCGGCATCCCTGCCAACAACAAGGGAAAGCACAGCATTGGATGCCTGTTCTGGATTTTGGCACGGATGGTTTTGCAGATGCGTGGTACCATCCCCCAGGGCCACAAGTGGGATATCATGGTATATTAAAGTTTGAATCTTTTTCTTTTCTTGGTATCCCGAGTTCGCAGTACTTCATTGATCTTTCTTTATTCTCCTGTGTTATTGTACAGGTGGACCTCTTTTTCTACAGAGAACCTGAAGAAGCCAAGCCCCAGGAAGAGGAAGAAGTTGCTGCTGGTGCTGAATATGCACTCCCCCCTGCTGATTATGGCCTAGCTTCCACCGAGTGGAATACTCCCGGGGATGCTCAGTGGACCGCTGACGCAGCTCAGCCGCCTATTTCTGGTGTTCCAGCAGCATACTATCCTGAAGGTTAGCAATTTCGTAATAGTTACAAGGAAACCGGCATCTCCCATTATTCAAAGTCATCTAGTTAGTTGTTTGCTGACTTGCCCTTATATTAATATTGCAGCTGCTGCACCCATAGGAGGCGACTGGGAAGCTGTTCCAGCTGTTCCTTCTCCGTTCCCTGTTGCTGCCGAACCAACACCCACAGGCTGGGAAAATTAGAAAATGCTGTTATCCTTGGTTGCAATCGTTAGCATTGATCCGGCTGTTATGTTACTTTGAACATCAAGAGCTTCAAAGCACCAAGTTCTAGACATTAATATTTTGTTTTCAAGCTATTTTTTGTTTGTGTCCAGTATGGATAGTTGTAGAAACCAAGCTTCCCGGAGGTTTTTTTGATAATGAAGTAAGGCTTTGATATGTTTCCTAATCGATAAATTATTCCTCTGTTTATCAAAACCGATCTTTTTTTCTTGGTTGTCACCAATTCGGTTAGTTTCAAATTCGAAACTGGATATTAGTGTCAAGTTTCATTAAATTCATTTTATGTGATAGCTAGGTGGTTAACTGTATTAGTGGCGAACAGTTAACCGGACATGGAATCTGTAATAGCTAGGTGGCTAAAATACTTGGCTCAGTTATGCTTAGATAGAACCGGTAAGATACTTCGGTATTCGATACCAGAATTGAAATGGCAAATCGCAAAGTTGCAACCCCTCCCCAACTCAACCTAATCGGTAAGATACTTACTAATTATTAATAGCAATACTATTTTGAGTATTTTCAATGTCCGTTGCTCTCTCCATTTGTCTATGCTTGCCATAAAAGTACGATGAGTCACGCTACATGATCGCTCCTCGACTCCAAACACGGTCGTTTTCTTCCTTAATTTTCCAAATGACAACCGAAAGCTCCCTTCCAAACCCATCGGAAACCGCCTCTCCACCATAAATCGCTGGAAATCACCTCTCCATCAAGTTGAGCTCGAATCGACAGTCTTCTCCAACTCTTCTTCTCCCAATTGCCCTAAAAAAAATTTCATCGCCCTTTGCTTAACAATCCATGCCTTTTTGTAATGAATATTTAATTGGTACCGATCTTTGCACTTGGCCTGCAGAGGTTTGACACGTATATCTGGTTTAGCTTGAATCAAATGCTTTCGGTGTCAAAAATAACATCTACGTCAAGTTGGTAATGATCCTTCAGTTGAGTCGTGTTGCTACGAGAATGTTTTAAATCCGCCTTTTTATAATCTCCGCCAGAATCTTTTGAGACGACCTGAACCATCCATGTCATTTGCTCTCCTTGTAGTTGTAGCATTTCACCTTCTAAAATTTTACTGTTGACTCTACCACTCTAAATTGAAAGTTACTTCCCATCGCATAAAGCTTCATGGCCCTTTGTACAACTTTTTTTGAACAAAAAATCTTGCCAATGCAGAACCCCTGACGACTTCCTAGTTCATCATTCATATGTCCATAAGAGTCGATTCTCATGTCGTTGTCATAGTATTCCGGGAGCTCAAAATAATGTGATGCAGGAACATAAATTTGATGGAGCAACAGCTCCTTCGATCACAATTCAGTGCTCATCTTTATCGACAATTCGACATCAACGTCATCAGCCTCGTCATCATTGTCCTCGTCCATATGATCATCTGTCTCGCTAGGAGCACATACTTAATGTCTCGTCCTCCTCCTATAGATGACTAGTAAACTCTACATATATCTCAACAAACTCATCGCGAATTGGATTTTGAGGTCGTTTGGAAGTTGCGATTGTTAAATAGATGTATTGTTGAGAATGCATGTATAATATTATATATGTATTGTCGAATTTGATGCATTGTAGAATACAACGTTTGGTATGTGTGATTGTGTATGTCACATCAACTAAAAGCTGAGACAAAACAATCTCAACTCAACTATCTCAACAATCACAACTAAAAGTTGAGATATAACAATCACTCAAAATGAGTGATAGTTTCTGTCACATCACAGAAACAATCTATGTATTGTTTCTGCTAAAAAAACAAAAAAAAACGATGCATTGTAAACAATACATGCATAATGACAATCTCAACAAAACTATCGCAACTTCCAAACGACCCCTTTGTTCCATAAAATATGTTATCTATCATATCACCATAGTGATAAATTTACCATTTACTTAAAATTATAGCCTAAACATAAGGCAGTTAATGTCTCTTTTACTCCTTGTAGATTAGAGTTGATCACCTCACATAGTTGCTCGTATGTCAAACGATCACGAATTTGTAGTAAGAAATTGGTACCACCAATGAACCTCAATTCCAACTTTCTCTCTTCTTTTTGAATTCCCCACAATACAAGTTTAAAGGTTTACACACAATACATAAAAAAAATTACAGAACAATGACATTAATTATGTAATTCACACATACAATTTCAATATACTAATAAAATATTCACTCAAGTAGAAACAAAAAAAATGTTCATATACATATACTTTGCATTAGCCATAATCTCTTATCACGGTCGTGTATGGTATTTGTATGAGATGAAAGTTAAGAACGGTGGAAGTTGATGTGAGAATTCATTAGCAAATCAACGTTTTATTTATAGGCACATTAAAATGATTGTTTTTCTCAAATTTGCCTGTTAAACCATTTTCTGTTTGGTTGCCCATTAGAAATTTCCCATCGAATGATTGTGAACATTGAAAATGTACCTTGGAACACAAATTGGGCTTACTCCCGCCCAAGTTGGTATTTTCAGCTCTAGAACACCTAAATGAGGTGTGCGTCCCAATTAGCCTTTTCTCCCTCAGTGAACTGAAACCCAAGGTTGAAAAATGTGTTTTGAATTACTGTATTTTTTTCAATATACAATATTTACGTAAAAGCCCACAAAATTCAAGTAATCAGTATACAATATACATTGTGAAGCGACTTATAGTTATGGTTGGTGATTAAAGAACCAATCTTATTCAGGAAAGTGAGGAAACCAAGTAATTCCCTTCTAGTTAAGGACCTTAAGGTTCTCCAGTAGCCATTAAAAAATGTAAGTCAGAAGCTCGGAAGTCATCTGGACGAGATAGTATAACCTTAATCAGTCTATCATCAATTGTCGCTATGCAGATTCATTTCGAAAGCGCTATATATTGGTGGATTATCTAATGGTCTAGCAACTATGTACAAGGGGTTTTGCTTTCAGATTTCTTGTTTTCTGGGGGACGTTGTCCAAATGAATCATGGGGGAGCTCATTTATCCAAACCAGCATTCCTTGCAACTCCGACGAACCAATGCTCGACAGCACTGTTATCAGCACGAGAATGCTTGCCGCGATGATGTCAGCTTTAGTATGAGAGCCACCAGACTCCTGCTCTTATTTTCTGTGTTCTTCTGTCCGTCAAATCCACATCCTTAGGATGAGGAATATCACTCGAGGGGAAGCTCGGATCAAAATTGGAAATGTCATTTCAGTGGAACATGGTGACGCCATCGTTTACCCACTGAACAAATCGTTGTGAATACCCGACCAACTCATTGCACCCGAGCTCACTACTACCAGCGCGATAACTTCCCTGCACAACGAGCAAACAGGAAAACGATTCGGTGGTCAAGCAAATGCCAAGAGGATGCACTCTCACTGTGGTTGCGACTTGTGAAACAAGATACTGACCTGCAAGCTAGGGCCAGAGTCACTTGCAGCTGAAGAGATCTCTGTTCTGGCTTCATTCACGAGATTCTCAGAGGACAGACCGGCAATGGATCTACCACCAAATATTGGAGAAAGGTTACTCTGGATGCAACCACAAATTTAACATGGAAGAGCACAAGGAAAGGAAGAACAAAAGTGGCACTACCTGTCACTTGGATCTTCCTCGCAGGAATTTCCTGATGAAGAGAGCCACTCCAGATCGAGAAAATTTGAACAGCTACACGTATCTCCATGTTCATCGTAACAAATGGGATTACTTTCGTATTGGTCTTCTCCTATATCTTCAAAGAGCTGCTTGGGAGTCATCGATGGATTGAACCTGAAAAAGGAAAAACCTCTTAAGTCCACCACGGAATTCGATGAACTGAACCATAGTAGGAGAGCCAAAAGAACATCAGAAAATTAAAGGGCGGACCTGGAGAAAGACATGTCACTATCACCAGTCGAGATCTCGGGGGTAGAGTCTGAGAAACCCTTCTCAACGCCTCGTTGTTTATCAGCCAAGAGCAAATTTTGTCCAACTCTGGTATTCGTTTCAAGTGAGTCACTTTCACTTTCAAAGACTAGATTTCCATCAGACATTGATCTTTTAAATAATGACCTGCAAATTGATTGGTAGATGTTCAAACATAAGCATTATGTTTCTGCACCAGATTCCATGCATGTTTCAAGTTGAAAAGAAAGAGCAATTCCAACCTGGGATTCTCAATAAGCAAATCGGGATTACGGCCTCCGATATTGTAATGGTGATCAGAGTCCAATTCCCACAGTGCCGGCTTTCCTTCCTGTGGCTGAAAGTAGCCCAGGAATCTGCTCAACATCAAAAGAATAGTAAATAAACATCTCCTCAAAACTTATATATCTCCTCAAAACTTATGGAATGCAAATAAATAAGAGAGGAATATTTTACATACACGTTAATGGCATCTTGTTTCTGAGCATCGACGTATGCATTACTGTAGTATCTCTGCAGAGTTCTGAAGAACTCTTGGGACTGAGTTGCAGCTTTCCACTGCCCTCTTCTCTCAGAAAATATCTGCATAACATTAACATTAGCAACTGTAAACTGGCTGAAAATTCACGAGTAGAGTATGAAAGCTCCAAAATATGAAACTACAGACTACCTTATTATGTGCAGCGGACCCGCCATACTGCCGTGCAAGCGTGTCACCCATCAATTCATACAGGCGCATCAAATTCTCTGCTAATGGGTTATCCAGATCGATACTAGGGAATTCTAAAAACCCTAGTGCATCCAGCTGCTTTCCGAGAGCCGCCAAACCATAAGCATACTGAGCAACATTGGTACGATCCAAACAGTCTATGCAGTTGGTCCTCAAGACACCCTTTTGAAGAGTAGGTCCTTTGATCTTGTTTTCTTTACTATCATCGTTATTTAAGTCACTGATTACAGGGCCAGACTCGCTCGAATTGTCACATTCAATTGTAGGGCTTTCCTTCGAGCAGAAATTATTTAGTAATCCCTCATGCCCCGGACTAGATGAGACTTCACAATAGAAGATGCCGGTCAAGTTCAAAGCATATGAAGCAACTCTTCCAAGAAGTGACAATACGTTGGTACCTCTGCAGCAGACAGAAGAATCCAGTATAGGTTGATCATATACTCGAAAGAAATGTGAGCATAATGAAAACAGACAAAAAGGGTGGGTCAAAAGTACCTTCTAGAGTGTTTGTTCAGATCCCAGTGAAGGAACCTCAAGCGATTCTCCTTAGGTAAACTCATGTTGATAAACCTGATGGCACTTGCAAACTCTGCTCGGAGTATGCTCTCTCGGGGTTTTGTTTCATGAGTCTGAAAAACAAATATATTTTTAGGAAAATATAATCAATACAATTGAAAGGAAAAACTTGAAAGCTTACTTCAGTAAACTGCAGGAACTGACCTTTATTAGATTCAAAATGATTATTGGATTCCCATATCTCTTTGCAAGATTTTCAAAATGGAGCCTAGTTGCCTCATAGGCTTTATCCTTCTTCGATACTGTGGATGAAAATCAGAATCAATACTTAATAAATTCATGCACCAAGACCAAGGTAAGATATTCAATCTGGTATCGAATTAAGTGTGCGGTGTTTCGAATTCATACGTATAATATCTGGTTTGATATTCAATCTTGAAGTTTCCTGAGACCAGAAAAGTGGAATTGAACCCCGGTTCTGGACGACAGAACTTATTTGGACTGAATGCCCTTCAGGAGAATCTTCAAATACAATTTGTTCAGTCTCGACATCATTAGCAACCCTTCCTTTCTCATTTACCCCACGCTTCAAGTATCTGCAACAGAAAGAGAGAGAGAGAAAGCAATCTCATAACGAAGTTAGCTTATGATCAGAATTATATTTAGCCATAAAACTGCATCTACTACTTGCAGGGAGTTGGTAATCTGAAGTTAGTTGTCCTGCCAGGTTTCGGCTGAAGTTTGGAAGGAAAAGAAACAAATGATACCTTGTTCCAGCATAATGCCTCGACCGTCTGGAAATGAGAGTCAGCTTAAAGTCCCTTCCAGAAACTGATAATTTGACCTGAATGACAACCAGGAATGAAATGGTTCATATTAGTCTATTAGATAAATGCGGCGTGAACGTGATATTGGAACAAGTTTTAGCAGGATAAAGATTAAAGTTGCAGCAAATCTACCCAAAATGGTTCAAGAACCTTTTACATGGAACATTTATGTCTAACATTAAATATATGACATACTAGCTTCATATATAGAAAGCATATCGCCACCATTCTTATCTGAATCGGAAGCGAGATCCTACCCAAGGAAAACTGTAAGAAGGATCTCAAGCCCCCACATTAGATGCATATAGTTCCAGAAAACAGTACAAACCTGCTTAAAGAACCCGTGTACTAGTGCCACCGTCCAGGCAGAGTTCTTGAGGTTGTTCCTGATTCCTCGAGTTAAGAATTCATTCCAGACAAACATGGTCTCATAATGGAGCTTTCCTGTCTCACTATTACATAAATTCTTTTGAAGACTATGCATAACATTGTATGAATAGCTGAAAAAGAAGTCCCTTGTAAGATCCACCATGCAAAGAAGCTTCTTGTATCTATTTCATCGTCAAGAGAAAAAAAGAAAACAAAGAACAAGGCAAGAGAAGTTAGTCAATTCATGAAACATTAAAAGTAGAGACAGAATACTAAGCTGCAACTAGGTGAAATTTGCTAAACCAGAAATTAACTGAAACAAAGAAACTGACTCTTTCCCCCACAAACTCTTGACAATACCTCGCTTCATTCAATACGTTATATTAACATCACAACAGCAATGATTTTTCCCCTGTACATAACAAGACCAACAGGCAAAAGGTACCAATACAACACGGGAAACTAACAAGAATATGGTAGCAACTTCTAATACTGCATAAATAAAAAGGGCACATATAGAAGCGGAAGAAGAACAAAGAACGAAGAAATAGATAACGCTAGTAGAAGAACTATAAATAAGCTTTGAATAATGGATCCCCGCGCCATTAATTAACACCAAAAGGTATAGCGCCGACAAATATAGAACAGAGATCACCTCTGCAACGTTGAATATGCCTACTCTAAATTGATATTGACAAGAAACCCATATTATTGGTCCCAAACAATTCACTGGATGAAAAAGAAAACAATCATGACTGTCAGAAAGTCCTCGACTAGTTACAAAGAAACAGTGAGTATTTTTGAGAACCAATCTGACAAGTCTCCTTAAGAGTACCAAGTACTTGTTCCATTTACATGCAGAATGGACAAAAGACCTGTTCTCATTCTTAGAATTAGTCATATTTGACTGCACAGGAACTGGGATCATCTCGCTCCTGGTGATTGCATATATTGAATGGCCACAAATAGTACCAATCTTCCTTCTTTCGGTTATCAGCAGCATGTAATAAGGCCCCAAAAATTTAATGAATCCTAATTTCAGAAGAGAAAGAAAAGAGATATCATGAGTGAAACAGTAAAATAGAATCAAGCAAGTCAATAAGTGACATTTGGCTATTAGAAGCATAGTAGCATACCGACTATTCCATAGCAAACAGTTACAAACTTCAGTCCACCAATCCCTTTATTCCCTTCATGTATTCTCCGCAGCAAGTCACAGCATTCACTTTCGCTATATGAAGTCGAATCTTCTAGGATATTTAATTCAGATTGGTCTGATCGATCAATCTTTAACACCTTCCAAACGGTTCTGCTTTTGTCTCTTCCGATCATATAAAAGTGCTGTACACAATGAAAATACAAACAACCCGTTAGATACTGCAAAGATTAGATAGTAAAGAGGTGAAAGCAAAAACTGCATTACATACCAAGGCGAACCTACCAAGTTCAACCCATAGACGAATTCAAGCTTGATCGACACATAAATGGTAATGCATAAGAAGGAACGAGTTCATAAGGAATTATTTAAATTATACGCGTTAGGTATCAACCTAAAAAACTCCTAGCACAATCGTAACACTTTTCAATCACGTATTTGGTAAAGTATCAGCCAAGATAAGGATGATGTCCTCACCAAGGATATCTGAAGATTGCTACTTAAAAACACTACCAAATGTGATGATTTTTCATATCTCTAACGATACATTACAACTCGAGATAAGATAAGAATCTATCACCACATAGCAAATGCCTCTCCCAAAAGGGAACATAGCATAGAATCAGACAATCCTGCAAATCTTCATTGATAATGATGCGTGCAATTGATGAGGAAGCTGTTTATGTTTAGAACAATGGAATACTGTGAATTCACATGACTAGGAATGATGTCAAAAAGAGAAGGAACATCACAAACTTTAAGCCAATTCATCTGTGAAGTTAAACAAGCCTTAGGATTGAGGAATCAAATTCAATAAGGAAATGAAAGACTGCATACCGATCGAGTCTCATAGAGTCTGAATTTCTGCAAATAGGCAGAATTTGAAGCTGGAGGAATCGAAGGGCAAGTCTCCATCTCCATTCAAATTAGATCGCCTTCAAACTCCCAGGAGCTCGAAGGAAGTGCAGGGAGGGGGGCAGGGTCAACTCCTTCTCCAGCTGCTGTTTGCTGCATCAAAGAACAAAACTTTTTTGGTCAATCTGCAAAAAATAAACTAGCTACTTGCCAGCCAAAGCACATGTTGCTGCCTGTTCTTCCTCAAGTCAAAGAATTAGATGAATTAGCATAGAAAACCCAAATTTGCATAAAAAGGGTAAGCAAAGCTGCAAACTTTCTGAGACAGAATCTATCTTTCCCCCAATAAAAGAGGACCCAATCAATAAATTTAAGCTTATTTGAGCTCAAAGCTGTGATCTTGCAGGGAGGGGACAGAGAGTTTGAGAAGGAGCAAACCAGAGAGAAGTTGGGAAGATGGTCAGAAACGCCGCCGTTTCTCAGGGATAGAAAGCCAAAATTTGAACCAGATCGAGGACCAGGGAGAAGAAGAAGAAGTAGACACAGAGAGGAAGGAGGAGGAAGGAGAAGAAGAGATTGGGGGAAAAAGGCTGACAAGCTGTAGATTGCCACACAATGCACGGACTGACAGAGAGGAACCAATTTTCTCCCTTTTTTCCTTTTTTCTTTTTGTATAATAATTTTGTGGAGGAAATAATTTATACTGATTTCAACTTGGCTATATATTTTTTTTTTTTCTTGTGTATGTGAATGAATAATCAAAATTAATGATTGGGGAGGCCCAATTTTGGGGATTTTTTTGTCTTTCCAAAATTGCTAAAAAAGACTGTTTATGTGGGAAAACATGATTTTTTTTACTGTTTCAAACACAATGATGATGTGTGGGTTGGGTAGGGTAAAACTCTCCTCTCCAAATTATTGTTATTGTTTACTATTTAGCTGCCCATCCATCACCATCATCAAGACATTGCCTATATAAACATGATTTTATTATTGTTATTAGTATGCAGAATTTGGTCAATTATAGCAAATATTTTAAGCTCCTTCTTTCTTGTTTCTCCCTCCTTTCCCAGTCTCTTTCTTGGGCTCGATCAAACGGGTGAATTGTATTGTTATATAGTCATGATTGGTGGTAATAAAAATTGGGGCATTGATAGAGTAAAACCTATGTTAATGGGTTTGAAGAGTTTAGGTTAATGGGAATCCTAGTTTTGAATGAGTTCTTAGTTCTTGTTGGTATTATCAAGGATTGACATTTATTTGATGGAGACTCTTAGACCACCATAAAGGCTTATTTAGATGATTGCTAGTTTCCAAATTTGAATTCGAGATGATGGATGTTATTAGTCGCGCGTTGATATAAACACAAGTCTTTTGAAGTTTACGATAAACATTTGATTAGGAACGGCATATATGATTTTTTTTTTTCTCTAGTGATAAATTGTTGAATAAGTATAGAAACTCGAAACTCTAATATATCGTTGAGGGTTTAGAAAAATATCACTTTTGATCATAGATCTTTGTCAAAATTGCAGTTAGTAACAATTCTAGAAAATTGGTGGGAAGGAAGTCATAATACTTTTTTAATTAATCTCTCTTAATTAGTCACCTTTAAATGGTTGGTACATAATGTCTTATTATGATTTTTTATCTATAATAGAGTTACATCACAAATATGGAAGCATAATGTTGTATGATTAGTGGAAGATAGAGAGAGAGAGAGAGGAATATGCTAAATCATATATGCCATTTTTCTCGTGCAAAACTTGGCTTATTCCTCATCTTCTTTGTGGACATGGTACAGATCCTCTTACACTTTTTGTTTTAAATAAAAAAAGAATTTACATTTTTAGTCCATGTACTATATTATCTTAACAAAGGCATCCTTATACTACTCTAGGGCTCTACAAATAATCCCATTTGCGTATTATGCTGTTCATCAATTTATAATTCATGTGTCAAATAGTTTAACCAAATTTATTAGTAATGAGATCAAATCATACTTGGCCAACATGTCTTCCAATTCTAATAGATCACACGGTATATATGCATGGTACAAATCTCATCAAAACTCAATGCAAACTTATTTATCCATTAATCTCCGCTTTAACAAGTTTCAAATCATAGACATATTAGATATGAGGTGTACGATTCAAGAACCGAAAGTGAGGATGGATGGAATTGACCACTTGAACTTCGAACATTTATGATTTGTGATAGTGAGTCATTTGAGACATGCTTATTAAACACCGATAAATCGTAACGGTTTTTATTTAAATCAACGATCTAAAATTGGATTAGTACGAGAGTATATCCACGTAGTTATTTTTACATTAGGATAAAAAAATCATTATTATTATTACTAACCCAAGAAAGAACTATACAATTAAATGAGATAAAATAATGAGCAATAGGCTGTGGAGGCTGAAATACAACCACTAGAAACTGTTATACTACATGGACTACGGGGTCGTTTGGAAGTTGCAATTGTTAAATAGATGTATTGTTCAGAATGCATGTATAATATTATACATGTATTGTCGAATTTGATGCATTGTAGAATACAACGTTTGGTATGTGTGATTGTGTATGTCGCATCAGCTAAAAGCTGAGACAAAACAATCTCAACTTAACTCTCTCAACATTCACAACTAAAAGTTGAGATATAACAATCACTCAAAATGAGTGATAATTTATGTCACATCACAGAAACAATCAATGTATTGTTTCTGCTAAAAAACAAAAAAACGATGCATTGTAAACAATACATGCATAATAACAATTTCAACAAAACTATCGCAACTTCCAAACGACCCCTACAAGTATTTTTGTTTTTGTTGTTATTATATAATTAATGTGCCCCATTTTTTGTTGATCCTTAATCCCACATCAGTATGTTTCTCATTTGCATTATTTTCCGCCTTTATTTTATATTTTCCCTGTCGTATTATTTTATTATTGTTATTTTCCGTTTTATAGCTATTATATTATTAATAGGATAAAATTAAAGGTGAACAATGCCACATGATCTAAAACACTTGTGATTCCTAGCCTTGGAAGGCTTTCTCTTGGAGACAACGGAAGATGTTATTGTCAGTTTGTCACTGCAGGCAATAATTTAATATAATGAAATCTAATAATTTGGAGATTATTTATTTCACTAAAGATTTGGGGTTCAAACTCATGCTATGTTATTAATTTGGTAAGGTGTTATTTATTTTTTAATTACACTCTTATAATTCCAAAAAAAAAAACATCTTACCATGAATATTCAAGGGTTAATACAATATATTAGCCACAACTATTATGAAGCGGGGAATTATAGCCACAATTATAAAAATTCAAATTATTAGCCATAACTATTGTTGCAGGTCAAGATATGGCTAACTGTCTGTTACTGTTATTGAATTTTTGACGGAGAAGACCACGTCATCGGCCACGACAGCGGCCACGTAGGAATGCTTTTAGTTTATAACTTCAAAACATAAAAGTTTAGTCAGTATTACTAACGAAATTGTTAACAGATAGTTAACGTTTGGCTAATAATTTGAATTTCAATAGTTGTGGCTATAATTCCTCGCTTCATAATAGTTGTGACTAATATATTGTATTTACCCAATATTCAAAGGAGTAAAATTTATTCCGAACATGAATATTAAAATTACACACTCATTTAAAAAGCTCATCTTGTATCTGTCATCCGGACTACATTATATCCGACTATCAACACTAACTATGAGTCATTTATGACATGTGAATTCGAATTATCTACGCCCATCCCAAACAATTGGAATTGACTAAAAATGAATTAAATCAAAAATTTTCAACCCAAATTGATCCATCCAAAATTCCTGCCTACATACGGATCAATTAAGTCCAATTGTTTCAAAGAAAATTTTGAGACAATTTAATCAAATAAATCCATTATAATTTTTCGTCCAAACGAACTCTCTTGCATCATGAAACCCGATCCAAGGAACACAAAGAAAAGTAATGTAGGGTAGATTGAATGGGACAAAATGTGGGTGCATGGATGGTGGGCGGGTAGGGTAGATGAGAATTAGGAGAGAGTTTGTCAAAGGCAAAACCTGCAATAATTTCACCCAGCTACAAATTAAGATTTGAAATTAAACCCACATGCTTACGTAAGTACAGCACGACACCATTTGATTAGTAGGTAATTAATACCCTTGTTAACTATGTAAACCAGAAATTAATTAACCAGGTGTGCCATGTCATTCATACACATATGACTTTTATACATTTTGTATACGTTTGTATACGTTTCTTCCCTAGCCAGCCAGTAAAAGAAAACACGAAAAGATTATTCTGTGTGTGTTACGTCAAATGACATGATCTTGCTAGCTGGCTTCACTTGGCTGCTCGAAGCCAGCCTTTGTAAATACATATAATATTACATAATTGTTTGCACGTCATTGCTTTTGGGGGAAGTTTCAAACGTTAACAAGTCGATCGTCTTCGTTTCTGGATCATCTTGAACTTATACAACTCTATTCTTCTTCTTCTTCTTCGTTTATAGCTAGCTAGGTAAGTTCCCATTTTTCCAATGGGCAAATCAACAAAAGATCTCACTATATTGTTTTTCCTTATTAAAATAATAATTGCGGTCGAAGTCTAACTTCTATGTAAAAGCAAAATGACGGATAAAAACAAAAGTGTAAAAACAAAATTAATAGAATTTTAATAGAATTTTAAACAAGTATTCATTTTATCCTCCTGCTTTTTAAGGGGGATATGAGGAGGAAACCATTAGCAAATGAATGAAACTATAAAGGTTGTAGGCGAGCTTCACTAATAAGTGAAAGATGCGGCAAATAAGAGGTCTAAGGAGGCGAGTTTCGATGGGCGCATATCATAACAGTAGGGTGAGAGTTGCAGGGATGAGAAAGGACGGCGACGGCAGGAATCTGGTTGCGGAGTGTGCTGGCTTTGGAGGCAAAGAAAAGACGAAAATGGAGGAGAAGTGGCAATGAATCAGGGATGATGATTTCGTAGAAGGAAAGACTAAAAGGATAACCCGACTACAAATAAATAAAACTGCTTCCTTTTTCTATTTTGACCAGCACCAACTGAACCAAACCCGACGCAATATGATAGGGTGTGCAACCATTTGTTCCAAAACAGACCGTACCATACCGGACCAAACCAACATCAAGATTGGACCAAACCGATCGAATATGATGGGTCTGGTCTTTGGTCCTATAAAATTTATAAATACTTAATGAAATTGGGTTTAATTGATATTTGAATCGAACCACACTATGTCGAATACAATGTTCGTTCGGTCCATATGCCCTAAGTTTTTTACTTTTGGACCGCGCTTCGCAAAATTTGGTCTAGTCTAGTTCGAACCGGAGCATTGCAAACCACTACAATATTGTCCTAAAAATAGGATATCATAAGCCTACAAACAGTTTAAAAGTTAGTTCCTAAGACTTTTACTAGGCTTGAGGGGTTTTACTGGGCCTTTTGATGCAACATTTTTTTTTAACAAAACCCACAATATCTGGCAGTTCAAAACCTAGTCAACTATTCTTAATATTCATATTGGAAATGTTCATGTGATCATGTCATAATCAACCAAAGTAGCTTAATTAGGGTATGAACACCCTTTTATACATATCATTATATCAACC